TCGCGGGAGAGGCGCAGCCGACGGGCGAGAAGGACACCAAGCGCGGCAAGTCTAAAGAGTCAGACGACGTAGTAACCAAGAAGATGCTGGCGCAGCTCGAGGCGCGCATGAGGACGCAGGAGTACTACACCATGACACAGGTCCACCTCCCTGCGGACCACCCCCTCGTCGTGAGCTGCCAGGCTCAGGATCAGTCCAACCTCGTGCAGGTGAAGAAGGGCGGGCCCCAGCACGAGCGCGGCCCGCCCGAGCTCCACTTGTTTCCCAGGGCTCTGGACGATATCGAGAGTTGGTTGACCGAGGCTTCATCACTCGAAGTCAAGAAGTACATCGGCCTGCCGACGAGAGTGCGCAGCATGCTCGAGCATGGCAAGAGCGAGGGCGCCAGCGAGTGGATCGAGGATTTTACATCCAGCCCGATGTACGACGCGAAGAAGGTGATATTGACAATGGGTATTCGAGGGCACGCGCTTGTCGCGACGGCGGGCAAACACGTGGAGAAGCTGAACAAGGCCCAGCAGCAGGCCTGGGGTGGCGCTGCGACAGACGACAAGTACGAGGAGGTGCTCCAGCGGACGCCGCTGGAGACGCCGGCGGCCCCCGAGGGCGCCAAGCTCGTGGAGTTCCAGCACGCCCTCTGCGTGATCCTTCGCGCGCGGGGTGGCTCCAGGAAGGTTGGGGAGGTCCCGAGAAGGCCCATGGCGAAGCAGCTGCCGGGCAAAAAGTAGGTTGTAGTGGAGGCGCCTCGCGGCCCGCGCGGGCCGCCAGCGGGCGGGGGGTTGGGCTTCCCCGACGGGTGGGGCCAGCTCTCGGCCCCTCCCCCGCTTCGGGCCCCGTGGGCCTGTAGCCGTCCTCTGGCGGCGTTCCGCATTCGGTGCGTTCGGCCTCTGGTAGGCCATCCCCGAGGCTGACCCCCCCGTGGAATTGCCTAGCTCGATCGGCTTAGAGTTGCCCAGCGTCGTTCGGAGTTCTGGATTCATGTGGCGCGAATGGGGTCGTAGTAGTAGGAGGAGGGCCCAAGGGGAGGAGGAGGAGGAGGAGGAGGAGGAGGCGGAGGCGGAGGCGGAGGAGGCGGAGGAGGAAGAGGAGGAGGAGGAGGAGAACGACGAGGAGGAGGAGGAGAACGACGAGGAGGAGGAGGAGGAGGATGAGGAGGGAGGGAGGGAGGGAGGGAGGCGGAGGCGGCGCTGCGAACGCAGGGAGCTATGGGGAACGACCCGGTCGAGTGGTTGGACCTTTTGCAGGAGCCGCAACTGAAGCTGCAGGGGCAGTTAGTTGGGCAAAGCGAGGTCCTCGGCTGGGAGGGAACGCTTGCTGGGAACGTGGGGAGAGGACGACCGACTCCAATCCGGCGGAACAAGAGGCCCAGGCGCCGGGGGATTCCTGCTCCCCCGTGAGGAGGGTGACCAGTCCATGCCGGATAATAATTCCCCTGCGGCGTACAAGAAGCGCTTGCGGGTGCCGGTGCGCCCGCCCGGAGCTCAGTGCCAACACAAATGCGCCGACACAGGGCTGCCGTGCATCGAGCCCTTGGACGCGCGCGGGTGGCATGCCTGCAGCTGTCTTGCGGGGGGGGGCCCGCGCAGGCCGCCACGACAGCATGAGGGACTGGCACGCCCCCACGCACACACGCCTCACGGGCAACTACGCGGTCGCGGAGCAGCGAATTCCTGGTTGGGGCAGGATGGGCCAGCAGACGGGCGTCATGGAGGAGGCGAAGTTGGACGTTTGTACACGAGGCCCCAGCACACGTCAGCTTGTGCATGTGGATTGGAGCGTAACCTGCGAATGCAGCACCTACGGCCCTCGCAGGCGCGTTCGATTAAACGTTCGATTAACAATGCAAACATAAAGGAGGTTTCGCCTCCTCGGCGCCTCGCAGATCCTTCCCCCTTTGCCCTTGCAGACCGAACACTTAGTTTTTTCCCCAACGCGCTGATGTTGGAGTAAGTTCAAACGTAGAAGGAAACGCAACATACAAACATACAAAAAACACACACCTACAAACATTATAACAAAATCTTTGTATTAGTAATGTATTAATAATACAGCAAATGCTTGATACATTAAAAACCGTTCAATACATACAACTAACATGCGAGATATACAAACAATATGCAACAATAAAAACTGCGAGCCCATACGCTCGACAGTTTATTACAACAAAAATCTACATACTCTGCATTAAAGCCACACGGCTTTCAACATCAACGCATTTTTTATAAAAAAAAGAAGGAAGAAAAATATTAATAAAAAAACACACACACACACATTCGGCTTGTATGGCCTTCGTGTTTTCTCAGGCCGCATCAAATGGGCGGCTCAGAAAATTGCCGCCGTGGATGCCGCCCACGGCGGCGCGCGTCTCCTCAGCAGAGGGGCGGACAAGGGAGAGGCGGCAGGAACAGAGCGGGAGCGAGGGGAAGGGAAAGTGTAAGCCAAGTGGGATGGAGAGAGAGGGGGAGGTGGAGGGAAAGAGTCTGCCTTTCTTGTCGAGGAGGCGGCGCCTCCTTACCACCCTCCTCCTCTCCCTTTTCACATCCCCAAGTCCTCCAGGCGCCGCGTCGCCGCCTGCGGGGCATTCGGGGGTTCGACCTTCCAAGGCAATCCCACGACGAGGCAATTCTAAGATAACCTTTTGTCGCCTCGACGCGGGGCCGCCCTGGAAGGAAAACCTCTCGAAGGCCCGATCGCCTCAAAGGTGCTCGTTCTGCGGGATACCGAACCTTTCGCGCAGCGTCTGGATGCTCATAGCGATCTGGTCGGCCTGCTGCTGGAGGTGGTTTTGCTGCTGCTGAAGGAGCCTCATCGCGTCCAGGTGCTGCTGTTGCTCAGTCGGCTGCTGTTGCTGCGGCTGTTGCTGCTCTGCGTCGGCGCCAGGTGTTGTTGCTGCTGCATATCCGCCGCCTGCTGCATCTCCGCCGCCTGCTGCTGATGCGCCTGCTGCTGCTGCGCAGCCCAGGCGGCGTGTTGCTGCTGCGCGTGCTGCTGCTGTTGCGCTTGCTGCTGCTGCGCGGCCGCGTGCTGTTGCTCGTGCTGCTGCTGCGCGGCCGTATGCTGTTGATCTTGCTGCTGTTGATTTTGCTGGCGCTGCGCAGCCCAGGCAGCCATCGTGGCCTGAGTCGGCACCTGCGGCGGGAAGCTCTGCAGGAGGTCGCGTCCTGATGAATGTAGCGCGGCCCACCATCCCTGCCAGGGCGGCGCCGCAGCGCTCGGCGGCTGTACTGCGCTCGGCGCCTTGCTTGTCGCCGCTAGGACTTTCCTCGTCGGCGCAGTCTGGCTCGGCGCCTTGGAGGCAGGCCTATCCAAGCCGAAGAGGCCACCTTGGGCTGGTTGCCGCCAGCCCGAGCTGGACGATGCTGCTGCTGCTGCAGCCTCTGCTGCTGGAGCTGTTGCTCCTGCTGCTGCTGCTGCAGCCTCTGCTGCTGGAGCTGTTGCTGCTGCCCCGAACTGCTGGTGCTGCCGGAGCTGCTGCTGCAGGCCTTCCAGGTCCTGTGCCTTTGCTGCTGCATCTCCTGCTGCGCCCACTGCTGCGGCTGCGGCTGCTGCTGCTGCGCCGTCTGCTGGAGGTGCTGCTACTGCAGTGTTTGCTGCTGGAGCTGTTGCTGCTGCTGCTGCTGCTGCTGCGGCCCCTGGTGCAGGCGCGGCGGCCGCAGCTGCACGCCGAGGGGCATGCTTTGCGGTGGCTTCCGAGCCGGCGTGCGCGGGCGGCGTGGCGGCGCCCAGGGCGGCATTCCCTGCGGACCGTCTCCTCCATCTCCGCGGCGACCGTTGCTTCCATGACGCGCTTCTTGCTCAAGAACCTGGGCATGGATGTTTGCGTGTGTGTGTGTGTTGTTGCTGACTTGTTACATGTTTTGCCGGAGGCGTTGCTTCCGTGCGGAATTATACATTTTGCTTTTGTGTCCCCAGGAGCTCGCGCTGCCGCACTCCCTTCGCCATGCGGTTCCGCGCCTGCGGCCAGACCGCAATCGCCATGTGCGTGTTGTGGGTGGCCATGTTGCGGCGTTGGCACTGGTGGCTCAAGCACAGGTGCACGAACTTATCCTGCAAGCAGTGCGTGCACCGTTGCCCCCCGCGGCTTTTCAGCCACGCGCGCGCCACGCGCTTCCCCATTTCCTCAGGCAGCCACTGCAGCTCCTCCTCGGCCCCCCCCACATAGACGACCATGCAGTCGTCGTCGTCGTCCTCCTCCTCCTCCTCTTCGCCAGCAGCTGGGCGTCCGTCGCGGAGCGTGTCCTTGAACGGGCGCTTGCCGCCAGGCGGGCTTCCACCGTCGCCCCCGCCTGGACGCGGCGGGCGGCTCATCGGGAGGCGTAGCATCGCCGCCGCCTGCGGGCAGGGGGGATGGGGAAGGGTATAGAAAGACTTGCTCCTCCTCCTCCTCCTCCTCCTCCTCCTCCTCCTCTTCCTCCTCCTTCAGGAGGCGAGGCCTCCTCCTCTTCCTTCCCCCCCCCCCCTCCGCCTGCTGCGCCAGCGCCGCGAGCAGCAGCGCTGCCCAGGAGGCCGCCATGGCCCCGCCGAGAGGCCCTGCTTGGGAGGGGCCGCGCGGCCCCGAGCGTCGCGAGGGCGCCCCGCGAGGAGCGCTCGCGGCTGCGACGGGCGAGTGAAAACGCGCATCCAGCTGCCGTTCGGAGCAAGATGCACCAGGAGGTGGCGCCTCCTATAGAACGCGGTGCCGAGCAGAAGGCGGGGCCTCCTGTCGGGGGCGATGCTGCCGAGCAGGAGGCGGAGCCTCCATCGGGAGGCGTCGCCCCCCCCCCCCCCCCTGTCGATCCACGCGCCCATCCCCTGCGTGCAGGGGGCGGGCTCTCGCCCAGGAGGCGTTGCCCCCCCCCCCCCCCCCCTTTGCTTTCACTATTCGCCTCTCTCCTTTTTAGCGGACCGCGTCGAGAACGGTGCAAGGTCTGGTTCCGAACTCCTGTTTCAGCTGCGTGACTGTGGCCCAGGACTGGCTGCGCTACATGCGCATCTCCGCTGCCGCCGCTCCCTCCTGCTACTCACGCCGCCGCCGCCAGTCCGAACTTGTCGCGCAGGAGCTCCTCGCCTCGCGCTTTCACGGTCGCTTCCGTGATCTCCCGCATGCACAGCCTGCTGACCATGTCCGTTGCCATCTCCCGCATCTGCGCCTCGGACTAGTCACCCGCTGTCCACTGGCGCACCTGGCTGCGCGGCTTGTGCACCCGGCGGATCGCCACGGCCGCCTTCTCCTTCTCGCCTGCCTTATACCATATGACAACCCAGGCTTTCCCCTTCACAGAATCCTCCTCCGCCTCCAAGCTCGGGCTCCTGTCGGCCGCGGCAGGCTTCTCGTCGGCCGCGGCAGGCTTCCTGTCGGCCGCAGCCGGCCTCCGCTTGCTCGAGCCGCCCGCGGCGCCCTCCAGGTCGGACTCGTTCGTCTCCTGGCTGCTCTCCCTTTCGCCGTCCTCGCTGTCGTCGCGGGCGCGGGCCCCCTTGGCCTCGTCCTCGACCTCCTCCTCGTCCTCCCCCTCGCCCGCTGCCGCCGGCCTCTTCCGCGCTGCCGCTGGCCGCTTCTTCGCCCCGCCCTTCGGGTGAGCCTGCTGCGGCTTGGCTGCCCCCCCTCGGCCCCCCTGCTCCACGGCCTGCAGGGCGGCGTTCGCCGCGAGCGTCTCGGCCGCCTCGCCGTCGACGCTGCTCACGGCGAAGCCCTTGGTACCCTTGCGAAGACGGAACCGCTCTTCCTTGAGCCCGGGCCACGCCTCGGGGCAGTGCCGAGCTCTCGCGAGTTCCATCGCGTTGTAATCCACCCAGTCTTCGTCCTCCTTGAAGGTCGCCGTCTTCTCGGCCTGGCAGCTCGCCCCGTTTTGCGCCTCGGCGGCGGGGGGGGGGGGGGCGAGCGAGAGAGAGAGAGAGAGAGAGAGAGAGAGAGAGAGAGAGAGAGAGAGAGAGAGAGAGAGAGAGAGAGAGAGAGAGAGAGAGAGAGAGAGAGAGAGAGAAGAGAGAGAGAGAGATAGAGGAGAGAGAAGAGAGAGAGAGAGAGAGAGAGAGGAGAGAGAGAGAGAGAGAGAGAGGAGAGAGAGAGAGAGAGAGGGAGAGAGAGAGAGAGAGAGAAGAGAGAGAGAGAGAGAGAGAGAGAGAGAGAGAGAGAGAGAGAGAGAGAGAGAGAGGGGGGCGTTTTCATATCGAACTCTCTCTCTCGCTCTCTCTTTCTCTCTCTCTCTCTCTCTCTCTCTCTCTCTCGAACTTCGAGCTTCGAACTTCGAACTTCGAACTCTCCCTCTCTCTCTCTGTCTCTCCATGCCTCCCTCTCTCTCATGTACGGTGCAAAGCGAATCGCAAACGCCGCGCGGGCCTTCCTCGTGCTCGGTGGGCTGCTGGCCACGGACTCCTGCGACGGGGCGATGTGCACCCCCCTCGTCGCCCTTGCGCTTCCGCGGGGGGCTCCACGCGCCATATAGGGCCAGGAACGCCGCGCCCTGGTCCGCTGCGCTGGACGCGGCGGCGCCCGAGGCGGCCGACGCCGCCCCTGGGCTGCCGCGAAGCTTTGCTGAGCTCGGCGGCGCCGAGGCGGGCGAGCGCTGTCCGCCGCCCGCGGCTTCCACCTTCCTGGCGTGGATCACCGTCTGCACCGCGGGAGGGGGGCGCTGCAACTCCTTGTTGCCGCTCCTCCTGCTGCGCCACGACAGCGTCTCCGCCATCATGTTTGCCCGCGCCGAGGACGCAGGGTCCGCCTCCCCGAGCACCTCCTTCAGACCCTTCTGGAGGTCCTTCGTGGACAACCTCGCCGTCCGGCGATTCACGCTCGCCAGGAAGTTCACGCTCTTGCGCGCCATGTCCTCGTAGCTGCCCGCGCAGTGGAATCCCAGGATCTCGCCCTGCCATTTGCGGATGACCCCGTTCAAATCCCCTTGGGCGATCTCCACTTTCGCACGCCCCGACGCCGTGCGAGCGGCCCCGCGCCGAGGTGGGGGGGGCCCGTTGCCGCGGCCTCTCGATGGCAGACTGCGGCGGCGATGGGGGGTTTGGATGCGCCGCCGTCGTCGCTCCTAGGAGGCGCGGCCTCCGCGTCCGCACGCTCGCCCCGCCCCATTCCTCTTCCCCCCTCCCCCCGCGCAGGAGGCGTGGCCTCCTCGTTCTTCGCCTCCATGACAAGATGTCAACTTCCGCGCCTGCGAGATCGAAGCGACGCCCTGGAGGGGGCGACGCCCCCTGAACACGCCAAGACCGCTCGCACATGCAGCATGTGGCTCGCCGCAGGAGGCGCGGCCTTCTCCGCGCGTGAATAAAATATCCCATTGCAGGAGAAGTGCGCCTCCTCATGGGGCAACATCGCGCCGTCATCGCCATTTATATGTACTCGTTGCTACAGGTTTAGCGGTGATCGTCGCTACATTTCAGCGTCGACGCTACATTCATGGCCGACCACTAAATAAGCAGTTTCACTAAATAGGCATAGATGGATCTACGTGGCACCTTGCGTCCCACTTCTTCCGGCTCGGAGGCGGCCCCGGGCGTCGCAACGGCGGCGGCCCCGGGCGGCGTTGCGACGGCGGCTCCTGGCGTCGTGGAGGCGGCGGCCGGGATCGAAGCGAATCCTCCGACTTCAGTGTCCAGTTCTCCGACTACCTCTTCATGCTCATTGACTCCCTGCTCTGGCCCTCCGGCTACCGCGTCCAGTGCTCCTACTGCGTCGACCAGTCCTGCGGCCACTGGCTCCAGTCCAGCGTCTACCAGCCCGAGTTCTCCGAGTTCCATGGTGTCTGAGGCCTGCCCGCTGTCTGAGGAGGAGGCGGTGGCATGCCAGGGTGCCTTGCATCTCGCGCCGATGATGCTGAACGGGGGCTCCACGGCGCAGTCCGTCTGCGACTTCTTGGAGGGGCAGGGGCGCTTCTTTGGCGCCCGCGGCCGCCGCGCGCGCGACAAGGGCGAGCTCAAGAAGGG